ACTTAGAACATTTAGGTTTTAAAAACTTAAATGTATGTTGACGAATGATTTATAATTATGAAGTAAGTTGAATTCTTCCCTTCCCTTCCCCCCGACAACTTTTAACATTTAATGAGGGGAAAAGGTACTGGCTGGGAGAAGCTAACACTCAGTTTACCATCTTTACAAAATGCTAATGGCTGTCCTCAACTGATTATTTTATATACATATATATATGAGACATGAAACTCTGGGAATAGATGCTTTTAGAAGCCATCATGCAAGCCAGTCATTGATTTCACTACTACACAACACTGCTAACTTAACTGTAGCTATGTGATAACATTAGATCCCCTAATTGTAATTTTATTGGGTTTGCACAGAACACTTTTATCTTCTCCTCACTATGTGAAGTGAGGAATCAGGAGTCAAACTGTAGAACTAAAACATGACTTCAGGGTAGTGTTTTGTTGGTGTTTTTTAGGTTGCTTCTGGTAAGTTTAGGTTTGCTGTATTTCGGATTGCTTAGAATTTTGTTTGTAGTCTTTTAAAAGCAGATTTTTACCTTGAATTCATACTTGCAGATTTCTTGTGATAGTTTTAGATGGTGTAGGTTAACAGGAATTTTTAGAACAAAGGCTTAATCCTTAATTACCATAGGATATTGAGCAGTTCAAGGTAGTGTCTCATGAGTTCCGTGTCTATTCGCAGTTAATGTTAGTGACCACTGGCCTGAGCTACTTTTCACTATACATTATATTTAAGATTGCATAGATACTGACCCAGAGGAAAAATTTAAACTAGATCCTAATCAATGTTTAGGTGTCCTCAAGTTTTCCTTTGTGCCTTTTAAAAATCATGAATATATCTTCTAGTTGAGAATTGCTTACTAAGGGATACATTTCATAACAGGAACAGGAAAGTAATGGTCAAATAACACTAGGTAGACTTCTTTGTCAGTATAGTCCAGAGAATTTTGGGAGGAGAGAAAAAATAGGTAAAAGCACTGTCCAGAAAGATGTTTTAAGCAAACAAGATTGGAATTAATGGTATTCTCTACATTTGTGGGGCAAATAATCTTAGAAACTATTTAAGAAATTCAGAAAAGAGAATGTACCAAATAGCCAGTGAAGGGAAGAAAAGCAGGTGAAGGAAATGCCAAGTGTTGGCAGAATGAGAAACTTGGTTTATTGTTTACCCAATTGAAATGCCATCCCTGTACCCCTAATAGCAAACAAAAATCAGAACGAAGGCACAACTTAGTTATGAACAAATTGTGACATACTCAGAGAAAACTTACTGTGAGATGGCTTTTGGTTTAAGGGGTGCTTTTTAAGTTTTATAGATGTTTCATGCTCAAAAAATTGGATTGGTCAGCTACAGTATGAAAACAGTATAGCGGCTAATAAGAAAACTGAAACTTGTAAGCTAGAAAGTAAATGAAATTATGTAGAAAGTTGTCCTTATATTGCTGTTAGGTTATATTGAACTCACCTAGCCTTTGAAGTGCTCTGGTTCTAACTTGCTAAGAAGGCAGTGACCAGCTTCTTCAGGCTTTAATGTCTAGATAGCAAGACGTAATGAAAGGAAGCTATTAAATATATTAAAAAATAAGTTCATTTGCCTAGGATATATCCTGTCCTAAAATTAGGAATACAAAATCTAGGTGTCATAAGCATTTAACAACAAGGTATTTAAGCTTCAAGTGTCTTTGAAAATTCAAAAATTTTTAAGGAGTTTACACCTGGGGTTTTATGTTCATGAGCTGTATTTAACATTTGCCTCACTTTTGGGAGTTGGATGATTCTGTAAAATTTGTTCATAACATAAATTGGCTTCTACTCTTAGGACCATGTCTATAATGGGTTCCTCTGCACAAATAAATGGAATGAAATATTATACTAGTTTTTAAGGTAGTGGCATATAAAGACCTAATTACAGGTTTTGTCACAACATTTTTTTCTAAGCCAAAACTAGAATAAAAGTTGAGTGAAAAAGGTTTAAACACCTCTTAAACTAGAGCCTCCTAGAGTAGAGTCTATGGTATCTGTTACTGGATGTAAGTGGATCTTCCAAAGTTTCCATCAATCCTTAGACATTCATGTAAAATATTTTTTAAAAGTGGAGGGAACTTGGAGAAGGAAAGAATTAACTACTCCCGAGCCCCCAGAATACTCACTTGAGATGTTCCTTTGAGAACACGAACACAGCGTTGCCTGCTTTGTCTTTGATTTATAATTTTGGAGCCCTGAGATTGAGGTGTTCGGAATTTTTATGAAAAATTGGGTTTAAGTATTAACATTGTAATGCTTAAAAAAAATAAGGATGTCTTACGTAAAGGCCTGACCATAGGTTGTGATACCTATGCAGTGGGACTCCCCCAAGAATAATTCTAAGGGACTGTAAACATTAGTGGTGTGAGCAAGAATCTGTTGACCTGAGGGCCCCCAAAAAAGAAGTTAAAATTAAAAGTCATGTAAACCCCAAGTCTGTTGAAATTCTCAATCTCCTCTAAGTGTAGCCCAAAATGCTCAGTTAAATTGTGATACCCTCTACCTTTTTCTTGTAGTTTTTAGCTTTTGAGTATTTTTTGTGGCCATAGCTATTCCTCACCTTTTTAAAACATGAGTGTGATCTAGCTAACTGGGTCAGTACTTGAGATTTTAGTTTTATACGCTGTTCTGGAATCATCCCCAAGTTTTTTATTTTTCAGCTATTATTAGAACTACAGGTCATGTTTATAAAATAAACATCAAAAGTACTTTTTTGTCCAGCTCCCTCATGTTGGAGTGACTTAATTTGTTTTAATAACCCTTGCCAATAACCTTGATAGTTAAAATTAAGCCTTTTTAGAATTTGAAGATAAGTTACTGTACTTAAGGAAGTTGTGTGTATCCCTTGAGTGTGTTGGAATAGATTAAAAACCAGGGCTCCTCACGTGTCTTGACATTCCATGGTTGTGTATACTTAGGAAGTAGGATTGAAACAACCCACCTTAATGTGTAGTTTTCATTATGTTCAGCTACATACATGTGCGCGCTACTTTATTTGGCATCACACTTAACGCCAATCTCAAATCGTGCAAAACAGCTGGACCTCAGAAAAATAGAGCATTTACATGGGAAGTAGCTAAAAAAGATTGTATACCTAGACAAATAGAGACTGTTGCATCCTAGCCAATTGACTAAAAATGTAAGAATGCGCTTAATTTGTCTCCTTAGGAACTTCATTAAGTCTCTGAGGGATAGTATATTGGATATGGGTGGAGAGATTAAAATTCACGTTAGGTAGAATTACTCAGAAATGTATACCACCTAGATAGGGGAATTAATAGTTCATAGGGAAACAAAGGATGAAGATAAGTGTAGGCAGAACATCTGTAAGTAATCACTGCTAGGTGAGGTTTTGGGACAGGAACTTAGCCATGTTTTTAATTTGTTATGTAATTACAGCCTAGGAATGTTTTTTTTTATGCCAGGATTCAGTATATTGGATATTGACAAGGAATAGGGGTTTTGCTTTTAAGCAAAGTTGAATCTGATCATGAGAAACTATAGCTGAAAGCAATGAGATAAATGACATGCTAGGAATGTCTTCATTCAGTTCCTTTTTGTTACACCATTACAATCACTGGTCTGTGCCAGTGGCGTAGTTTCTCATAAACACGTCCAGCCTGAGTGTCTCCACTCCCGGAAGTTAATGCAGGGATGACAGGCTGGAAAACCAACATGGCTTCTAACTGGTAAACACTGAACTATTGTTTTGTGGCATGTTCTTTCCTGCTTTTTCTTTAGCAGTCCCATTCCATGATCTTACAGGAAGCAAAATCAGTTTTTCTGGTAAAATATACTTTGCAGACACTTAAAGCATTGCCACAAATTGGTATCAGCCAAATTTTCAAGATAGAAAAAGCCACCAAGAACAGATTATTTTAGTATAGACATCTAATTACAACTGAAAATGCTTTGAAAGTATTAGAGCATACCTAGAGAAGATGAGATAAAATTAACACTTCACATGAGTGACTGGGGCTTATTTGAATGGCAACTAATAGGGAGTTTTTGAGGTAGCCTGTATCGGTTCTCTGTAAAGGGAAATGGGAGTGTCACGGTCGAGTACAAGAATAAAAGGTTCCAACTTACTTTTTTTTTTCTGAAAAGTAATAAAGCAAAAGAAATGTGCTGATTTAAATTTCATCTCCTTTTCCTTAGTCTGTCCATGTGAATGTGCTGTGTGGAAGAGTTAAAGGGCCCAACTAAATGTGTTCCAGTGATTCCAATAGGTATTCCAAATTAATTGCTGCTTGTACGTTTAACAGTTGTTTTGTTAGGCTTCAGGATCACCTTAAAAGGATTCTTAATTTTTTAAAAAAGATAGGGGGGGAAAGGATTGGAACCAGATGGACAGATCATAACAGAGAATAGGTGTTTTTTCTTGCATACCAGGAGTATTTGGTGGTTCTCTTAGCAGTTGGCAGTCCTCTTAGGGTTACTAAAAGATACGAGAATAGACCTGAGTCATTTCAAGGGTAGATCCATTTTCTTGGTGGCTCAAATTCCTTCTTTTAAATTTGCAAGGTGTTTGTTTTAATATCCTCCCTACTTGTAGGGCTTTAAAAATTAGCTTATTTTAAGATTCAGACTTCAGGAGTTTTAAGTAAATAAGTGTTCTAATATAAAACAATGAGTCTAAGATAGCTTTCTGTCCTTGGTTTCCTAAGATCTTTTGTTGCATTTATACTAAATACACAAATACTCCTTATTAGCTTTTGAACTTTGGAAAATAAGTTGATCTTTTGAGATAATGAAGTGATATAGGGGCGGCGCCTCTGGCTCAGTGGGTAGGGCGCCAGCCCTATATACCGAGGGTGGCGGGTTCGAACCCGGCCCTGGCCAAACTGCAACAACAAAACAGCTGGGCGTTGTGGCAGGTGCCTATAGTCCCAGCTACTCAGAAGGCTGAGGCAGGAGAATCACCTAAGCCTAGGAGTTGGAGGTTGCTGTGAGCTGTGACGCCACGCACTCTACCTAGGGCGATAAAGTGAGACTCAAAAAGAAAAAAGGTGGTATGACTTCATGTCTTGAAGTATATAAAATCAAATAGCAAGTGAATTTAAAATTTAAAGGCTTGAAGGAATGGGGAAGTGTGGTGTGAGCTTTAATTGTGCCAGTCCCTAGAGCATTTCATTTTCACTACCTGAAAAAGACTGGATAAACTTAGAGAAAACTTATCTCACTTAAAGACCTTATTTTGGAGTATGTAGTGGGAAGAGAGAGGACTTGGGTGCTGTTGTCATTCCAAATGTACCTGTCAAGGTTTGCATATGGCTCTATGCACAAATAAAAACCAATATAATGGCTTCTGAAGAGCAGACATCTTTAGGTTTCATAACTAATTCTGTTTATGAGGAAAAAGTTGATAAAACAAGGAAAGGAAATATATCTCAAATTAGCTGTGTAGATAGATGGCAAGGCTAAGGCATAATATTTTATTTCACATGACTTTATGGCATAGGGGAAGAAACATTTCTATGGAAACTTACCCTTTAAGAAACAAGGATATGCAGAGATTAGAGTGCTTTATCCCTTAAGGGTTTATCAGATAATAGGTGGCTTACAACATATAGGACTTAATTACTCCTAGAAAAAGAACAGGTACCAAGCATTTAAGTGACAGATTTTAAAGTGAACAATAGAAACTTACTACTAGTGTTTGCCTATTATGATCATAGTAGCCTTCTTAAGATAGAAATACTCTGTCCTTGCTCTAGAAAATAAGAGTGAGGTGGATGCAGTGGTTGAAAAGCACTGAAATATATGCAACACATTGATCTGTAATGTTCACATTACAAACTTTAAAATGTAACACTTTCATGATAAAAACTTACTTTGTCCCATTTTCCCTTTTAAGGAAAAAGTTTGAAAACATTTTAAAATGGAACTTACTGTGCAAAGTAAGATGTGTAAACTACCAGTATTTGGGTGGTAGAGGATATTGGTATATTATATTGATTTGACGACATGACTACTGGACTATTTTAAGATGCTTCCAGAAAATAATTTTATTCTAGAGGACCAGTACAAATCAGAATTACAGCAATCGTTTTAATTTTTCTACTTTCCTTGTTAAGGTCTTCTGCTTACCCCCCAAATAGTGTATATCTTAACATGACTTTTAAAGGGGTGACTTGACCCCCATCACAGATTTTTATCTAGGAATAGAAGGATTCAAACCCTATTTGATACCTAGCTCTTTGCTGAAAAGTGCATAAACAGGAATCCTGAATTTATTATATAGACCTCCTCGCATAATATAATCGAAGCAAAGGGAAACCAGCGATGGAGTAGAGGTACGTAGACTAAAGAGATGCTTGCAAATCAAATAATGGTCCCAGGGATAGTCACAGTTTCTTGTTGACAAACTCAGTCAATATAAATCAGAAATCCATAGAAAAGCTAGTTAATTTTAAATTCCCTAAGGTCCTTTTACTGAGCTGGAACAGTGAGTAGTCAAGGAAAAGCAAAGAGGGAGGGGCAAGGGAAGGGGGAAATGCATAAAGAACTAGAAAGATTTTTAAAAGTAGATATGATAGATAAGCCAAAAAAGTTTTTAAGACGACTAATGACCACAATTCTATTTTAATCAGCTATTTAGCTGGTACCTACTGCTATATCACCTAGTGTGAAATTTCGGAATTAATGGAACAATGAAGGAAGCATTGCACTGGAGGCGTGGAAGGTGGGCATGGAAGGTAGGTTGCTACTCTTGAACAGTTTTAAGATTTGCAGAGTGTGGAAGTCTAGATGAGAGGGGTACTTGGACACGAACATTAAATCTAACACCTCTTGACTATTTTGTGCCAGATACTTTGTTGGGAATGTTAAAGATAAAGGCAAGGTTCTGCCAACAAGAAACTTGGGTTCTGTGCACTAGTGGTAGCAGACACCAGTAAGTCAACTGTTACCATACACTTTGGACACAGAAGTTCTATGGCACAATAGAAATTAATGGGGAGACTGGAAATGTTGAGACCAATTAGTAAGATATTTTGTAATAGCTCAAGAAATACATCAGTCATTAATGATCATAAAATAACAAATTATGTTACCTATTTGTTTTATCCAGGTCTCCAGTTTACACAAGCACTCTTCTGTGAAAAGTGAACTAACCTTGTTACTGGTGAAGGTGTTGGAAATTTTACCAGCTGAGATTTCTCTTACCCAGGGTAAGATGCAAATTGCAGTATACTAGAGCTAGAGGGGACTTGACTTAAATCTGATAAGCCCAGTTGTACATGTTACTACATTAAAACATCTTTCCGTATCTGTCCTCCAGTGCCATATCCTCTTATCCACAGATTCAGCTGACTGCAGATTGTGAAGGTATTGGGAAAACCAAACAGTAACAATGCAGCAACAAAAAAATATAAAATATAACCACTATTAGCATTTACATTGTATATTTGGTATTTTAAGTAATCTAGAAATGATTTGAAGTATATGGGAGGCTGGATATAGCAGTGTATGCCTGTAATCCCATCTGCTCGGGAGGCTGAGGCAGGAGGATTGCTTGAGTCTACGAGTTTGGAATTAGCATGCCTAGCACAGGCAACAAAGTGACACATTGCCTTAAAAAAAACCCCTGTGGGAGGATGTGCAAATGCTATAAGGGACTTGGGTATGTGCTGCAGATACCCAGGGATGGACTCCATACAGAAACTGAGCATGTGTGGTCTGTCCATACAGTCTGTTAAATACCAGGTTATTGTGTAGTGTCCATCACGTTTTCCCTCATTCATGCAGTGTTGCCTATCATTTAGAATTTTAAACAGTTAATTTGGCTGTGGCCAACTTGAATAATGTAGACTGCACTCAGCTTTGGTTTGTGCCAGTGAGAGTGGACAGATCTTGCAAAATTGTGTTCTTCTTTCTGTTTAACCTTTTCTTATCAAAGTCCAAATCCCTTTTGTAATTGCCAAATTGGAATCAGTAAAAATTTTCTCTCTTAGAAACATGTTTGACAGTGTCTTTCATTGGTAGTTAAAGCATTTGGTAAACTACAGAACTTCTGTACCCTGACCTTCCCAGTGACAGCTAAAGAATGTGGGCGTGGGAGCACTTCCGTTTTCCCGGAAGAGGACTTCTCGCTCTATTTCAGTGGCTTGCCATAATACTTTACAGTAACAGAACATACAATAATGAGCTATGATTTTATTGACCACTGTTTTTTCCCCAGTAATTCTTTAGGACTTCTTAATTTTTTTTTAAAGTAATGTTGATAATTTTTTGAGAAAAGTTTCATTGTCTTAGAATTAGAATTTCTCCTGGATGAGCTTGGATGTTGGGTAATTCTATACTTGTATTTTAAAGGACTTTTTAATGGGACTTTTATTAGTGTAATAATATAATTGTACAATTTTTTCATTGCACCAGTCTACCAAATTCTGAAAATATTTTTTATATACCATGTGCATATTTGAATTCAAGACTAATTTTACTTAAAAATTAAGACCTTGGATACTTCAAAAAAACACTAAGGGCACTTAGAAATAACTTTATAAAAGTGTGACCTGTTCATTATATGCAACACATATACTACATTGGCAGTAAGATAACTAAGGCCAGAACAAATTTTGACTTTTCATGCAAGTGTGAACAAAATAAAAAGACTACAACTTACACGTACTTTATTTACTTGATTGCCAGCTTAGTGTACATAAAATGCTTTATGTGGTTAATCTCAGCTTTTGTTCACATTCATTTTCTATGATCAGATTGCTTAATTGCTGCTGTTGCTGTTGGTTTGTTTTGTTTCAGGATCAAGGTGGGTGCTTTCATATAATATCTTATTTTTAATTCCTTGTCTGGCAATTCTTTCTTGAATTCTCTGCTTTGCATAATTATACCTACAATGGAACCTTGTAAAAGAAAAATATGAATAAATTATTACTATAAAGTTCCTATAGAAATTAGTTTGTGAAAATTAATCATTGTTCTTTATAATTATCACATAGTTTTTTAAAATGCTTACAGATGACTACCCCAAGACTAATGTGGAGTGCTATTTTGGAGTGGTTGTCAAATTTTAGAATTGTATCAAGTGAAGATTTCTATCAAAAAGAACATATGTAAATGGAATCACAGTGTAACTTTACATGAATGGAATCATAGAGCATGTACGTAATATACTATGGGGTCTGGTTTAATTTTGCTCAAGACAGGATGCCTGAGGTTCACCTGTTTTATATTCATCAGTAGTAGCAAAAACATTAAAGTAGCATTTTTAGATGTGATGAATAAGTGATATAGGAATTAGGGTAAGAGAAAAGGTTGAGGCCTTCCTAAATAAGTGTAAAAGCCATTAATTTTGTTTTAATAGAATGTTGAATGTCATGCATTCATCTGTTAGATCATTCAGTGAATGATACGAAATACATGTATATATATATTTAAAAGGTAAAGGCAACTCCAGCAGTGTGTCTTTAAGATTCACAACACATTCTTCACCACTAGAGGTTGGGATCTCCCAACAAGAGCTGGCTGTGAAAAAAAACATATGCTTCTGTATTAGATAACATGTAATCTAATCATGAATTTTCTTGAATACTTAGCAAACATACCAGCATCCTAAAGTCACCAACATGAATCCTCCTACTCCAACATCACATGATCTTCTAATTCTGCCTATTGAAAATAAGCATAATCACTACAATTGATTAGAACTATACATTATATAAGCTATAGTTACTCTTATCTAGAAAAGAATTATCAACAAAGAACTTTGTTCAATACATAGATAAGTAAAAAGCCGATACTCACTAGTTAACAAAAAATGTCCAAGGCCAGCCACGACAGCTCCTAATGAACCATATAATACCGAATCCCGTGCACAGGGAATGTTTTCAACATCTAAAATTCCTAGGAGCTTAAATGGCTAGGATGGAAAAAAAGAATATGAAAGTGAAATTTCCGGGTGGGTTGACAAAAATTACATCAGCATCTCCCTTGTCAAAAAGATTACTAATTTTTTTTCTTTTTTTTTTGAGACAGTCTCAAGCTGTCCCAAATCTTGGGCTCAAGCCATCCTCTTGCTGCAGTTTTTCTATTTTTAGTAGAGATGGGGGAGGGAGAATCCTGCGTTTTGCTCAGGCTGGTCTTAAACTCATGAGCTCAAGCATTCCACCTGCCTCAGCCTCCAGGAATACTGTGTCCGGCCTACTTTATAAGGTATTATTAGACTGGGATAACTCAGAATTGGTTTACACTTTGCCCTGGTTTGGTATACAGTCTGAATTGTGAAAACTTAATCACAAAGATAACTGTGTTGTATGTATTTTGCATATCCACTGATTTGGAAATAGGAATATAAATATTTCATGAGGTCTTCAAATGAAATTGCCAAGAATTTGGCTGTCACTGAAATTAAAAATCTTAGTTTGCTCCAAGAATCCCAGTAATTTAAATACATTTTCTTTTACCATTTATATGCTGTTCTAAACTCCATTTTCATGCTTTGTTGTTTAACTAGGTGAACAACAGTTGCAGTTAAATAAACTAGTATGTGTTCTTGCCTTTGAAATGAGGTTGCACTTGATTGTATTCGATTCTGTGATCACAGTATATGGTAACCACAGCTAGCTGTGGAGGGAAGAGCTGGGAACCCAGAGCTGGCTTTTTGTCTCAGCAGTCTGTTGGCCTTGATTATTATGACTTCTTTTTCTGCAGTCTTCATTGGGTTTATGGACTTTTAACTGGAATGTCTGTCACTCTTTACTACAGGGCTGCAGGACAGGCATTTAAAAGAAATAGCTATGTTTAACTGGCATTTCTATTGATAAAAATAAGTTAGAAATGGTATCTTCTGAAACAAATTAAATTTTCAGTAACACTGTTTTCAGGTTTTGTAGTTTTAAAAGCAGCCTAATACTGTTTGAGACAGGACATGAAGCTAGATTATATTAAGAGCATTCTATAGGATGACGTGACACCTAGTAGAAGGTAAAATAATGGAAGGGTAAAGAGATGAGAAGAAATGGGGAAAGAGTAAAAGGCAAGTCAGTTTAAAGGTTGAAACATGAAGATAGTCTTCAACTGTATGTATGTTTTGCCTGTATTTGGTTCTTTGGCTCAATCACCTGCTGGAAAAGACAATGTGACTTGGTTCATAATAAAAGCAAAAAACTGCCTACTTGCTTTTGGGGTCTGTTTTGCTGCCTCCATTTCCCTCCCTCCACACTCCTAATAGGATTGCTTCATGAGGCATGGGAGGTGCTCTTAGTTACAGGCTTTAAAAGCTGCAATACAAAGATCTAATTTGGCCTCTCCATTTTTTAGAAAAAGAACATTACTTGCACTGTATGCTCATAAGGAATGCTACACTTAGAACTCCAGTCAAAACTAATGCCTCTAATTCTAAACAAGCTT